TTTCTGCTTCCTGGGTATCTTTGGGTGTCTCCTACATTTGTCCTCCTGCATACCTTTAGCCTTAAGAGGAAGCTATTTGTGGTGAGATGTGGGTTGATCCTGGACAAGTGGGCAAGGATGATCACTTGTGCATGTGGTAGGTCCCTTGCTCAGCTTGAATAACAGCAGGTGGGCAAGTCTGGAGCTGGGGTCTGGGACTTCCAAAATAATAAATTTAAACTCGAACTTCCAGATTATTATAAAGATATATTTGTCAAGATAAAATTATAGGACATATTTCATTTAGCAGTTTCTCAGCTTGATTTATAATTGGAAAATAGTTCAACATATAGCATGCAGACTTCTATTTGTACTCTTGCTTCAGATCCTGACTGATTGGCTACCTGTTTTGTTATCTTTGAAGTCACTTTATGTGAGACTCCTCTACAGCCCACATGTGTCATTTCCAACCTGTGGCCAGTGAGGTTGTGAAGGAAGGTCACCACCAATATGCATACTCACCAGCCTTTTGCTTTTTCTTAGACTCACAGTTCTTGTTCTCACCTCACTTGGGACCATTGTTCCTTGTTCTTTGTTTCTTTTTCTTGAAATACTCCAGACTTTTACATGGTTACTTCTTTCCATTCAGGTCTCTGCTCCAATGTTAGCTCTATGGAGGGTCTCACCCTAATGTCCTCACCCAAACCTAAAAGAGCATCTGAACATGTCAGATAGATCAGTAGTTCTTCATCCCTCACCTTACTTTGTTCTTTCAGCATAGCACTTACTGCCATCTGAAAGTGTGCTTATTTGTTAATGGATTTTTCTCTGAGTAGACTGCAAATTCTACAGGGTTGAAACTTTGTGTCTCATTATCTCCAGAGCCTTTTACAGTGGCTGATGTATAATCATGTTCAAAAGTGTTTGCTGAATAAAAGAAAGAATGAAGTAATGGTCTAGTTGTGTAACAGCAGATGGGGATCAGAATTCCTGATTTAAATTCAGCTTAGTAAGCAACTGAAATTTGAAGCAAGTTCATTATCACTGGAATTTACAGCATCCATTCAGGATGGGGCCATCTTGACCTGCTCACATGTGTAGCAGTCCATAGGAGACTGAACATTTGCCTGGTTGTGAGGGGTTAAAATGGTCCTGTTGCTAAAGAGTCCAGTGTAACGTTTGTGAATGAAGTTGGGTTTTCTCCTTTCTTTCTCCAGCTCTGTGCTCAAGTTTTAGCCCTGGAAGGTAGCTGAATACAGAGACTGTCTTGTGACTCATTGGTGATGAGAGACTCAGTGTTTGAACAGGGGACTGAGTTGAAATTTGCTATAGTCAAAATCAAGGATGCTAAGTGAAGGGCCCTCTACTGTCAGAGCCAGAAGATTCCTTAAAGATTATTGCCTAACGTTTCCAGTTTTCAAGATGAGAACCTGAGATCCAGAGCGACCAAGGTGCCATAATAGCTTATGGAAATAAGAGCTGGGGCTCAGGCTCTGTTTCCATGCAGAACAACCCTGCTCGATTTCATAAAAACCTTCATGATTGGTATGAAATTTCTGTTGCATATTAAGTATAGTAAACACTTATTTTAAAAGTCCCTACTTGCAGATTTTCTCTAAATGATCTGTAATATGGGGATAATCCTAGTACCCACCTCATATGGTGAGGTGATATTTTTTAAAAATATTTATTAGTTGTCAATGGACCTTTATTTTATTCATTTTATATGCATTGCTGAGAATCAAACCCAGTGCCTCACATATGCTAGACAAGTGCTCTACCATTGAGCCACAACCTCAACCCTGTGAGGTGAGATTTAACAGCTTTATGTGCATCAGTCATATGGTAAGGGATATTTGAGTGACAGTCATTGCTACAATTGTTATTTCTTTTAATTAGCATCCATTCCGGTACAAATTGTCCTTGCTGAGAAGTTGCTTTCCTGGTTATAGTTATTCTGATAACAAGAGAACTAGCCCCTGAAGCTTGTTCTAACCCATGGTGCACAAGAGTCATATTTCAACCAGACCTGTTGTCCCTGGTACCAAAAATAGCTTCCACAAATCTGTAAGTGACCAACCAGCAGGAGCACCCTGCTTTCCTAGGCAGGTGTGGGGAAGGCTCTGAGGTGCTATTGGCATGAAGCAGCTGCTTCTCAGGGTCAGGGATGTGCCATGGCCCTGAGATTCTCACAGTCCTGTTTTCAATTTGGGCCTTGTGGCTAAAAAGGTAAATTAAGAATATTGATCACCTCATCACTTCACAATTAAGTTGTTCTTTTTCCCCTTCTAAAATTTGGTGCAGTGCTTGAGATAGAGGGAGGTGTGGCCACCCCACATGGCAAAAGCGCATGGGCTGTCACTCATGGCCAAGTCATGGTTGGGAACTCTTGATTTCAATATTTTTGTTGTCACCCTTTTTTGGATTGTTCGCATGATGGGATGGTGCAGAGTGGACAGAGCTGCAAATGAGAAGGGAACAAGTACACTTACTGGCTGGGAGAAGGTGGCCCAGATTTTGAGCTGTCCAAATACTCTTAAGTTCTCTGTCTTCCTGGAGAGCCACATGATTAGGAAAAAAAATGGAACAGTGTTCATCTCAGGAAAAGATGGAGAGCCCAATTTCAGGAAGGTGGTGGGGAGGAGGGAAGCAGGTGGAATAAATAAAAGCAAGAATGCTAAAATGTTTAGGCCGCATCTTGGCAGAATGCTAAGCTTATCCCTTTGTTTCCAGAATTTTGAGACCAGACAACATAACACACAACTTTAAATCCTATTACTGTTAAGAGATAAATACACACACTAAAGCTCCTCACCTGGCCTATAAGCACCAACATTACTCTCCATCTCTCTATTTCTACACCTTGGCCAGCCACTTAGCCTCTTGAAAACTCACAAAATAATTACTTTCCTCTGGTTCAAGGACCTTACACATGCTGTTATCTTCCCCCAAATGCTCTTCCCCTACTCCTCACATAGCAGGATTCTTCCCAGCTTTCAGAACCCAGTTTCTGTATGGCAAGGCCTTGCTCCTGCCTTATCCTCTCTGTGGTTCCCTTCCATATGAGTACTCTGCTGTTGCTCACACAACCCCCTCCCAGAGTTAATGTTAATTGAGTGCTTATTTACTGTCTGTTTCTCCTATTACATGGTGAGTTCCCCAAGGGCAGGACATGTCTGTTTTGTGCCTTTACAATAGATTCTTAATAAGTATCCCCCAGTTGTTCAAACCCAAAGAATTAAAGTCATCCTCAGATCATCCCTTGTTCCCACCCCAATATCTGAAACAAAAGCAAGCTTTCTTGGTTTTACTTTTGAAATATATGCCAGGATCTGCCCACTTTTCTCTTTCTTCACTGCTGTGCATTTAATGTGTTTAGTTACAAACACATTTATGACTTATTTTTGGCACATCTCAAAGTTTAATTTTGTGAATAAATAATGATATTGTTCAGATTTCTCAAATTAGAGAAAGGTATAGAGTAAAAAGTTCTCCTTTTGCTCCTGTTACAAAGCATCCAGTTCCTTTCCTAATGGGCAACAAAAATTTTTGCATTATATATATATATCAGGGAACACATTTTATATGTGTTCCCTGATATAGTTTCAGCATGTGCAAATAAGTATGCATATTATTTTAAAATCTTTTTACACTCTTTTTAACTCACTATTTACTTAGTTGTCAAATAATAACATACTTCTATACACTCTCATTTTGAATTTTTTTACTTATTATACTTAACACAACTTAGATATAACTTAGATATACTTAACATAACTTAGATATCTTTCTACACCAGTATATCATTTTCTCATTCTTTCCTATAGTTGTAAAATATTCCCTTGCACCCCCTACTGATGAACCTGAAGGTTGTTTCCCATCTTTTGCTATTAAAAACAATGTTGTGGGCTGGGAGTACAACCTCAGTGGTATTGTGCTTACTTAGCATGCAGAAGTCCCTGAGTTTGATGCCCAACATGGGAAAAAACAAAAAACACAGCATCAGTTCACATATATACATTAACCCAGTGTATTATCAAACTCTTGGATCTTTGCCAATTGGATGAATGAAAAATATTGCAGTATAGTTTATACACACACACACACATATACACTGGGGAATATATATATATATATATACACACATACGTATATACATAATATACATGGTATTAAACCCAGGGACCACTTAACCACTGAGTCACATACCCAGCCTTTATAAAAATTTTAAATTTAGAGACAGAGTCTTGCTAAGTTGCTTAGGGCTTTGCTAAGTTGCTGAGGTGGCTTTGAATTCATGATCCTCCTGCTTCAGCCTCCTGAGCCATGGGGGTTACAGGCATGAACCACCACTCCCAGCAGTATATAGTTTTTTGGTTTGTATTTTTAAAAAATCTTTTAGTTTTCAATGGGGTTTTATTTTATTTATTTATATGCAGTGCTGAGAATTGAACCCAGTGCCTCACACATGCTAGGCAAGCGCCTACCCTTGAGCCACAACCCCAGCCCCCACCATATAGTTTTAATGTGTGAGATGGAGCATTTTTTCTTATGTTTAAGAATCACTAATGTTTCCTTTTTCTGTAAACTATGTATTCATTTTTCTATTTTGTTGTTGACCTTATTCTTATTGATTTGCTGAAATCAATAAACAATGGGGAAAAGAACTGAGGCATATGGAAGGTGAAGTGGAACCAAACTATGTTCACACAGAATGAAAAAGTAAAAATTGGGGCGCTACTCAGGGATTGAAATGTAAGAAGTTAAACTATAGAATTCAGTGTAGTGTCCAATTTACAAGTAATAATACAACAGTTCATTCCACGGAGAGGGGAGAATTCCCTGTTGAATGATTCAAAGCTCCTAAATATTAAGGACTTACAGAAGGTTCATATCAGAATAATATATATTAAGGAGAAAATTGACATTTTCTTGTTAGGTTATTTGCAATTTTTAGAAGAATCCTGCAGAGCTGGCCCAAGGTCATCTAATGCTGTGACAAATTTTCCTTTTTAGGAGAAAAGATGAGATTAAAAGACGATGAGGACCTATCTATTGTTCTTTGGCCAGGTAGTGCCCAGGCTCTGGGACTTCTCCCCTAAACACGAGCTGCATTCATAAAACCCTGTCAGATGCTTCTTGGAGGTAATAGATCAAAAGATTGACTTCTCTCGTTGTTACCCAGGTAAGGAAAAGAAATTTATGATTGAATGTTACATGAAAGTCATAATTTCTGTTTCAAGGAACAGAATCAGAACTCTTCCTCCTCTTCATTGGAAGTCACTTGGTTGTCTCATAAGAGGGCCTTGGCCAAACTCTGGAGTCCAGTACTATTTATCCCAAGGCCAGTAGATCCAAGGAGGCATGCTCAACATTGTGAGGTATGAAGAAAGACTGGGAGAAACCCTTCGGTGGCTCTCTTTCTTGGGAGTTCTGCAGCCTTCTTGTGATCGGAAGAATCAAAGTGCTGGGTAGCCCAGAGGAGTCATTTGTAATCATGGTACATTCTAAAATAACTATGTTTTGAGTGGCATCTAGCACTCAACAGGCACTTAATAAATATTCACTAATAACATTAGGCCACTCAGCACCAAGCAGGAGATAAGGCCATTTCTTTGTTGTTTTATACTTCGGTAATTGATAAAAAATAATTGCAAAGCTTTAACTGTTTAGCAGTGATTAGCTAAAACCATCACCTCCAAGCCCTTCCCACTTTGATAAACTCATTCCCATGAAAATACTCAGAACCTGAGGAACAGCAGGGAAAGAAGCCAATAAACTGCTGCTCAAAGAGTTTTACATTATCTCCATAAGCTATCTAATCTAGCCATTTTGAATGATCTATGTAAATTAATTACACTTTTTAATTAGGTGGTCTTTTAGCTTGCATATTGAAGTTTACCACTAATTACAGCAAGGCAGGAGGTCACTTGATTGGTATGGGGAACAAGAGGCCTTTATTTCATTGAACTGAAACACTGAACAGTTAATGCTTAGGGGGGAAAAAAAACCTGTAAAATTTATGTCTGTTCTCAAAATTCAAACTGCATAGCTCTTGTTCAGTTTTTGTTTGTTTGTTTATTTTCTGACTCAAATCCCTTTCAATGGCCCACTGGGGCTTTTTTTTCTTTGTAAATATCAGAATGACTTCCAAACATGCAATGACTCAAAACTATTATAATAGCAACTGAGAAGGCTGAATTTTGCATTCCTAATGCTAGAGGGAGAAAAACCCACCCTTTTGATATTAGTCACATTAAATGCCATTTAATTGCTAGTGCAGCTGTTTCCAGATGTGACTTTAGTTTGTTCCTGTCAGCCAGATAGTCTGCGATTTTTATTAACTTCATCATTAAAAAAAAAAAAACAAAGGCTGGCACCCTACTTTATTCCAAGCAGAATATTTTTTAATTAGAAAAATTAGAGTGGTCATTGTTGTGAACAGACTGCATTTTAAATCTTTAAAATATTTCTGAATAACATTTTATGGCTCTTTCCCTCATCTGAGATTGTGTCATGCACCAGGATCCCTGATTTCCATTCTTTTCCACCTTTTAGTGACCCATGCCACCCAATGGTGGATCAGTGGGTTGGAAAGAAGTTATGCAAGAAACATTTGCTGATTTAATGCAAACCTTAGAAAAATCAGGACTGCTAATTGAAAACCACGGAGTGAATAAAAGCTTTGACACAGAATAATTCTCCTATCTGCCATTTAGAGGGGCTCTTATTTTCACGTGGGCACATGCATCACCCCTATCCTGGAAGTTCAATGAATCTACTGCTGGTAGAGTTTCTTCTTGAGCCAAGGGATATTCTTCTTTAAGGTGGCCAGCCCACCTCCCCAAAGTGTAAAGGCATATTATCCCATTCTGTTCGTCTAGCTTCAAAAGCAACATTTTTAAATTGCATCAAGCAGGGCAGTGTAGTAGGCAGGACCCCAGCCTGGGCACTGGGACTTTTGTTCCAAGCCTGGTTCTCTCTGCAGATAACTGGGTGACTATGGCCAGCCTCTTCACTTTCTTAGTGGCTCTCACCTTCCTTGAAGGTGAAATGAAGGATTCATTTTGCATGTTCTCTCAAGTTCCTCCCATTTCTAATACTTCCAAGACTGTCTCCACCGAATCACATTCTGCCTATTGCTTAGTTGTCTACATGGACATTAAGCCCTTAGAAGGCAAAGATCCAATATATTCCTTTTCTTTTTTTTAATTACATATATATTTTTAAAATTTATATATGACAGCAGAATGCATTACAATTCTTATTACACATGTAGAGAACAATTTTTCATACCTTTGGTTGTATACAGAGTATATTCATACCAATTTGTGTCTTCATACATGTACTTTGGATAATAATGTCCATCACATTCAACACCTAAAGACTGAACGTTGTAACGGTGCCATAGATATTTGTTGAATTAAGCCAGGGGTGGTGGTGACAACTGTAAATTCAATGACTCAGAAGGACTGTGACTTGCCAGGACTCTGTCTCAAAACAAGGACTGGGGATACAGCTTAGTGGTAGAAGGTTCTGGGTTCAATCCCCAGTACTGAAAAAGAAGTTGTTATTGAATTAATGGGACTGTGAAAATCAAGAATATGAATAAATACATTTTATTATCAATACCAGTAGTTGTACTAGTAGCAACAAACCTCCTTTTTTGAGCACACACTATAAGCTAGACATTGTATTGAATACTACACATGGTTTGTCTCATTTAATCAAAGGAGACCAGCTTATATTTACTTTTTCCTTCTGTGGTGAACACTACTAAATGTAATCCATCCACATCTTTGTCCTAACTAATAGAATAGAATCTCAGTTTTTTTGGGGGGACAGTAATGTCAATATTAGAAACAATGACCTCCCCCAGGTACCCTTGATTCTTGAGATAAACCTTGGGGTTTAGTTTTAGCTAATGAGATGTAAGCAGAACTCTTTTGGGTGTTTTTTTTCCAGGAAAGTTATTATTGCCCAGATAAAAGGGGAAGATCTCAGTCAGTATTTGATTTTTGCCATTTCACCTTCTGCTACTTCCTGCCTGGAACAGGACCCAATGTTGGCAGCCAGGTGGACTGGCCATCTTGTTTCATGGACAAAAGCCGAGTGCAGCAGGATGTGGTAGGGAACATGAATCCTTGGTGACTTCATCCAATGGAGCCGTTGGCCCTCCACTGTACCTCCAGACTCCTGGTTTTGTGAGAAAGCAAGACCTCCTAAATAACATATTCTACCATGGGCACATTTCATCCACGATGACACAATAAATATTTTCCCAAACATGGATGTCCCTGGCCTTTGCTTTCATAAGCTCTGGCTTACTCACACTCCTACCAAAAGCTATCTCGCAGCTGCCTCGTCACTGCTTCTGCAAGACTGTCTACCTCTCTGGTTCAGGTTTTGTTTAACCACTCCTGCAGAAACTGTATTTTCTTACTTTCTATATTCTTGATGCTCTGGCATCTGAGATTCACAAACTGGGGAGAGGTGGCTTCTTCCAGGGCTAGCCATTCCTTAGAGATAGCAAACAACGCTTTGGAAAGTGGATCTTCCATGTGTGAACTGACCAATCCAGAGCCCTTCCTCTGAACCACTTCCTCCATCAGCTTTTATACTCCTGGAGGAGCCGTGCACCTGTGCTAATCACCCAGGGCACAGGCACTAGACAACTAGAGACCACCCTGATAGCCTAGAGCCTGCCACGATTATTCACACTGTCCAACCCTAAATCCACTTGGTTGCTTACCCTGCCTTGCCTGGTTTTTCTGGTGAAATCACAACAAAGTTTTGCTTGTTTTTGTCTAGACTCCTGACCAACCCTGATGCTTCTCTAATGAGCTTGCCTGGTGTGGCATGTCCTCTCTTGGGAACTGTAAGTACCCATCTTCAATGGCAACAGTTTCCGATCTGTTGGCCGCATCATATCTGGATAAAATCTACATTTCAAAACAATTTCCGTGGGGTTGTGGCTCAGTGGTGGAGTGCTTGTCTAGCACATGCAAGGCACTGGGTTCGATTCCCAGAACCACATAAAAAAACTAAATAAACAAAAGCAATTTCCAGTAGCTTTAACTTTACCTACCTTCCTCAGTTTCACACCACATATAAAAACTTATGCAGGAAGACAGATGTGGCAGATTTTTCGGTACTTTTTATTCTTTTTCTATCTTCAGCATTGCACTTAGTCACTGTTATTGAGTGTGGATCATAAACACCTTAACTGGGAATAGGTATTGTCTTTCTTGATTGATTAAAATTTTTTATTTTGCAAAAAATCTCTACAAAGTAGATGCCTATGACAACATAATACATACTAGCAAACAGTCCAAACTAATAACGAAACTGGACCTACAGATTCTTGAAGTGCTAAAGCTGAATGGTGCTTTATGAATCATTTAGAGACCAGACTCTAGTCTCCTCCTATGTTTTATCCCAGGGCACATAGGGAACCAATAAGATACAAAAGTAAAAACAACTAAATTGAGTTAACTTCTCGGTTGACCATACCCTGAATGAAGCTACTATTGCTCTCTCTTTCTCTCTCTCTCTCTCTCTCTTTCTCTCTCTCTTTATGGTTCTGGGGATTGAACCCAGGGCCTTGTGCATGCAAGGCAAGCACTCTACCAACTGAGCTATATCCCCAACCCCAGGAAGCTACTCTCTCAACTAGAACTCAGAGGATAAAAAGGACTACTGGGAGTAGATGAGGAAACTGACCACATGTGTTGAGCTCCTCCCTTTACTAAAGCGTCACTGAGAAAATACTAAATAATGTCAAATGACTCACAAGGACAACAAGAACAGTAAAAGAGATTTAGATGTGCCAGGTACAGTGGTGCACACTTGGAATCTCAGCTACTCTGGAGGCTAAGGTGGAAGGATTGCAAGGTTGAGGCCAGCCTGGGCAATGCAGTGAGACTCTGTCTTAAAATAAAAAGAGCTGGAGATGAAGCTCAGTGATAAAGGGTGCACAAGGTCCTGGATTTAATCCCCATTCTCTCTCTCTCTCTCTCTCTCTCTCACACACACACACACACACACACACTCATGTACAAATTAAACAGTTTTTTAAAAATGGAAAGCAGAAAGAGCAAAGGCAACTGACTTATCAGAAAAGAGGAAGGTATAATCTAGGTATTCACAGGGCACCGAGAGGAAAAGGTGATGCCCTTTGCCCTACAGCTTGCTGGAGGAGTTCCAGGTGGGACGAGTCACACTCCCTTTCCCACCAGAACTCCTAGTCAGGTGATTACCTCAACTTTCCTGGGAAACAGGTTTATTCTCTAGAAAGACTGAACCTGAGTGATCTACCTAAATTCGGAAATGCAGAGAGACCAGGGAATAGACACTGATAATAGTGGAATTAAATGAAAAGTGGACACTTGGCTCCTAATCACTTCCATTCCCAAAATGCCAGTCCCCTCCCCCAACAAGACGGCAGCCTGGAAAATTTTCTCTAAAGAAATAAAAAAGTCCCAGAGAACAAGGGGTGGAGGTGCACACCTACAATTTCAGCAAATTGTCGGGCTGAGCCAGGAGGATCACAAGTCCTGGAAAGCCTGGGCAACTTTGTGAGACTTTGTCCTTCATACACACACACACACACACACACACACACACACACGCACATCCACATATATATATGAATGACCAGGGATATAGCTCAGTGACTCAGTGGTAGAGTTCAATCCCAGTAAAACATACATACACACACACACACACACACGTCCTGGAGATAAAGCCTCTGTACCTGACACCAGTGGTGGTAGTAGTGACCGTGTCTCTAAAGAAAGTTCAGCTTTCCTCCTAATCAACCAGTGAGCAGCCAATACACGCAGAATATCAGGCAGCTCTTTGGTGACTCTTGAATACCAATCAATACCCAAGAAACATCAGACACCTGAGGAATGCCTTCAAGATGGATGATGAAGACTAAACCAAGAGAACAGAGCTTGTAAGAAACCAAAATAATGCATATGGCAGAGAACTAGAATTATGAAATCAGAGAGATTAAATCCATAAAGTTAATAAAGGAGGCTACATAAAAGGAAGGCTGAGAGATTTATAAAATGCTCTTAGAAGTTAAAAAGAGGGAAGCAGAAAAAAAGTTTGGTAGGAGGATTAAATGTGGCGTTAATGATATTTTCCAGAAAACAGAACTAAAAATGAGATGGAAAAAGAAGACCGAGAAGGCAATATATATTGGAGCAATGCTACCTAACAGAAATATACTATAAGCTGTCTGTTAATTTAATTTTTCTAGTTGTCACATTAAAAAGGTAAGAATAAACAAGCACAATTAATTTTAATAATCTATTTGACCCACCGAATCCAAGTACTATCATTTCAACATGCAATCAACATAAAAATTATTAATGAAATATTTTACAATCTTTTCATACCAAGTCTTACAGCATGCTTCAATTTGGACAACTCATATTTCAAGCATTCAATGGGCACAAATGCCTAGGGGCTATGACATTTAACAGCATACATATAAGAGATCAATCTAGAATATCTTTTATATATACACATGAAAGTAATGGTATTAATATGGATAAATGCTAAGAGAGTTAAGGGTGGAGAGGTTACATACTTTCAGAAAGAGGAGAGTTGAGAAAACATCTAAGAGGAGCTAGAACTTCAGAAATTGTATATACAATATATTTTAGAGCAATTTCTAGGTTTCCCCTCTCTAGTGAGGAGATATGTTTAAGTAAAAAGTACTGATCTGCAGATCTATGTCTATGAAATTAGAGGAAAGGATAGTAAAAATAATGCATTCTTTGGGGGATATTTTTCCTTTTTGACTGAAACTGATCTTGCTTTTAGAATATGGAGTTACACAAATCTTACAGATCACCCAAGTCTCGAATCTCAGGCTTGATGATCATGATATTCATCCAGGATGTTGTTTAATCAACGTTCTCTTCCTGGGCAAAGCCCCAGGTCCTTTTCATCAGAATCTCCAAAGGGAGAAGCAGTGATCTGTGTTATTTATAAAACTTTACAGGAATGACACGTTCCTGCCTGTGTAGCCACTTCATCCTACAGTTTAGGGAAACTGATGTACAGAGAGGTTAAACCCATGGTTCTCAAAGGGTGGTTCCCAGACCAGCACTTTCAGCAACATCTGGGAACCTCTAGAATTAGAACTTGTTAGAACATGTGAATTCTCCGGCCTCACTCCAGACCTATGGAATCAGAAAATATATTTCCACAAACCCTTTGGGTGAGTGTGATGTACACTCAAGTTTGAGGACTATTTGACTAAACTATTATCCAGGGTAGAAGTTGGTTTAATGGATAGCTAGATCCCAAAGAGGCCTTACTCCTCATTTAATCACATCTCTCATTTTATGGATGAGAAATAGAGAACCAGAAAAATTTAAGTGGTGCCCACCTGGGTGGCAGCAGCCATCTTAGTACCAGAGGGATGACAGTACATACAAGATGACATTGTGAAAGTTGAATAGGTCAGGGCAGCCTGGGCTTTTTATTCACATCAATGAACTGCTATTCTGAACTTAGAACCATCTATCCCTAGGCTCCCAACTGTTTGAGTCCCTTGATAACCTTTACTGTTTAAATCAGTATTGGTCAGGTATTCTGCTGCTGGCAATTGACATCTATCTTCTCCAGTGGTCTTCTGAAAATGCTGAGATTTTTAAAAAATTATGTCCTACTTGAGATGACTTGGGCATCTGTGACATAGTGCATGAAATCCAAACTGAAGGGTGTATTTTGGTCCCTTCCTCTGTGTTCCCCTAGGACCTCCAATGCCCTTTATCACAGTACTCAGTCCAACACAACATAAGGGTTACTTATTGGATCACGAGCTTCTCAATCTTGTACCCCCAGAGCCTAGCAGACTCCTGACATACAGCAGGTGCTGAATGAATGCTTGTATCATGAATACATGTAAAACAGGTTCTAAATCTGTGTTCATCCTGTACCCACTGCTCCTCTCTTCTTGTCTACAGGTCCAGCTATTTCCTCATCCAAGAGTCTGTAAACATCCTGATTTATAGGCAAGTTAATAACTTCATTTACAATGTAGCCTTTCCCTTTCCCCCTAACAGGAACATGCAGCTTTTGTTCTTAATCGTAATTTTCCAACTGCCCCTGGAATGTCTATATCTCCGTCTTTGGAGGAAGTACATGTAAAGGGTAGATATTCAGAAGATGATGACCTCTAACTAGAATTACTTGCAAATTAAACTATGTTCTGTCAAGGGCCTGGAGGGCCTGGAGCTGTAGAGAGTAGGGGGGGATCAGGACAGTGGTGATAGCTCTCCTGCTCGGCTGAGAATACTTGGGTGAGGAGGCTGGCCACAGGACACCCCCCCAGGGCCAACCCAAGGCTCAGTTGCAGTGTCTATAATCCTTACACTATATATATATATATATTTTTTTTTAAATTGTAATTGCTTTATTTTCAGGAAACTTTTTTTTTTAAAGAGAGAGAGAGGAGAGAGAGAGAGAGTTTTTAATATTTATTTTTTAGTTCTCGGCAGACACAACATCTTTGTTGGTATGTGGTGCTAAGGATCGAACCCGGGCCGTACGCATTCCAGGCGAGCGCGCTACCGCTTGAGCCACATCCCCAGCCCAATCCTTACACTATAAATCTTTAAAAGAAGACTGCCCCATCAGAGTACTCAGAGAAGTTTCTCTTTTGCATTTACTTAGGGCTTCTGGTCAAGAAGACAAGCTGTGGGTTGACAGCTACCTTCCTTAGGGAAGTGAAGAGGAAGATACTATACCACATGAGTCTTTCCTCGCTGGGAATCCTGCCTGGTTACAGGAGCTTGGGGAGGGGAAATTCTTAACAATATACCTTGAAGTTAAGAGAACAGATCCTGGTTGGGGACCCTGGTTTGTAGGAAGAAAAGCTCCCCAAATGGAGGTTTGAGGCAGGCAAAACTCTGAAGGATTATGTTTCCCAGCTTTACTTTGTGTCCCCTTTATCTCTGGGTCTCAGGATAACTCATCAGAAAATTGTTTGGTTTTATAAGGAACAGAGATGTCTAGTGCTGTCTTTCTCCCTGAGATAACCTAATGCATGTCAAAGTTCTACAATCTCAGATTGTACAGCCCAGTCTGATCACCTTCATGATGGACTCTCATTCTTTTTCCCAGGCTCTGGAGTAGGAGATCCACTTCTCCACACAGACACCAGCATAGTTAGCTTCCCAGGCTCCAGACAATCTCTTCTTCCCTTTGTCCCTCCAGCGTGGGGTGGTGGCAGTTGATAATTCTCGTTGCTTCACCTTCTCCTGTTTGTTTGGTAACCAAATCCCTGCATAATTTCCGTGCCTTGGAAGTACTTGGTTTGTTTCCTTTGGCATCTTCTCTGATAAAAACACTTGTGTGTGTGGCTGTACATTAAGTATGAATATGCATCATCATGCAGGGCTGCTCTTGCAGTTGACCTGTTTCCACATCTGTAGAAATTACCGTCAGCACCACTACCGCTGAAAGCACTGCATCCCTCTCATTGCTCACAGTACTAGCTCCCTTTAATTTTTTAAAATTTATGTATGATAGCAGAATGCATTACAATTCTTATTGCATATATAGAGCACAATTTTTCATATCTCTGGTTGTATACAAAGTATATTCACACCAACTCGTGTCTTCATACATGTAGTTTGGATAGTAATGATCATCACATTCCACTATCATTAATAACCCCATGCCCCACCCTTTCCCCTCCAACCCCTCTGCCCTATCTAGAGTTCATCTATTCTTCCCATACTCCTTCTCCCTACCCCCACTATGAATCAGCCTCCTTATATCAATCAAAGAAAACATTTGGCTTTTGTTTTTTGGGAGATTGGCAAACTTAGCATTATCTTCTCTAACTCCATCCATTTACCTGCAAATGTCATGATTTTATTCTCTTTTATTCCTGAGTAATATTCCATTCTGTCTATATACCACATTTTTAATACATTCATCTATTGAAAGGCATCTAGGTTGGTTCCACAGTTTACCTATTGTGAATTGTGCTGCTATAAACATTGATATAGCTGTGTCCCTGTAGTATGCTGTCCTTTGGGTATAGACCAAGGAGAGGGACAGCTGGATCAAATAGTGGTCCCATTCCTAATTTTCCAAGAAATCTCCATCCTGCTTTCCATACTGTTGTTTGGCTGCATGCATACAAACAACAATAAGTGTTGGCGAGGATGTGGAGGAAAAGGTACACTAGCTCCCATTTTAAAGTCTAGAGTGAGTGTGTCTGATGCACGGAGCTGAAGATAGAGGCTCAAGCTCTCATTTTGGCAAGGGAGGCTGAAAAAGCAAGTGTTAAGGATTTTTCCAGCTTTCTGTCATGCAAGACAAACTCTGCCTCTGTTTTACTCAGCTTTGTATCACTGTGACCAAGAGACCTGAGAGCAACTTACAGGAGGAAACATTTATTTTGGCTCATAGTTTCAGAGAAGTCCAGTCATTGTCAGCTGACTCCATAGCTCTGGCCCCTAGGTGATGCAGAACATCATGGGGGAAGGGTGTGATAGAGGAAAGCAGTTCAAGACTTTGCAACAAAAAGCAGAGAGAGCTCCCCTCACCAAGGACAAAATATAAACCCCAAAGGCACACCCCCATTGGTGTCCCTCCTCCAGCCATATCCTACCTACCTACAGTTACCACTCATTTGAGCAGTTCCAACAGCACCAGAGAAATGCTGCGCATCTGGGAAGTGGTAGAGGGAAGAGCAGTCACTTGCTGGACTCAGGAGTCATAAAGCTCAACTAGACAGTTGTTAAGACTGGGTTTTGAAGGCTCTTGAAAGCCAACAAGAGTATGGGCTTCAAAATGACCCAGGCAACATGGAGACTTAAATCTTCTTAAGCAGGGAAGTAGAGACTCAAATCTTTAGCATACAATTTATACTGTGTCCCTAGTGTCTGAGCAATTCAGTGTGATTCAGTCATTTACTCATCAAATCTTTATTCTGTAAACTTGTGGAAATAAAATGGTGAATAAGAGAGTCACAGTCCCTGTCCTCAGTTAACTTCCAATCTAGCGGGAAAAACAAACAGCAGACAAGTAAACACAATGTAGCAGAAAAACAGAAGCCCTGGAGGGTTCTGGAATGGGGGCATTTGATGTCAGCTACCAGTGGGAGGACAAAGTGGTGGGATATGGTGAGGAAAAATGTCCCTCAGTCCCTCAGGGATGTGAAATTTAAATGAAGATCAGCTGTCGCAACCCCTCGCCGGCAAAGGAAACACGACGAAGGATTCTTCTTTCAGCAGTTTACTCAGGACCTTTGAATCATGATGAGAAAACAGGAACAAGCAAGGAAAGAGCGCAAGCGGTCGGTCTGCCCTAGCTTAAGTACCCAGCCTCGCCAATGAACTAGCACCGAGTGGAGAAGTCCAATAGGTACAGCGCAGCGGAAGCAGGCCAGAGCCCAGCCCCACAGCCCTACAAGGAGTTGTTTACTTCTAACAACTCCAACCGCTAAGTCATCAGAAGCAGGAGGCCAGCGCCATTTTCAGGGTGCGGTTGCCAGCTCCCAACAATCAGCAGCACCCCAGTGGAGGTAACAACCACCCCCCTGGATCTCCATAGGGGTTGGGACCAGTTTAAGTTAAAAATGCCACCAAGCTTCCTATTCTTTTTTTAAAATATTTTTTTTCAGTTGTAGATGGACACAATACCTTTATTTATTTCTCTTTATATGGTGCTGAGGATTGAAACTAGGTCCTCACGCATGCTAGGTGAGCACTGTACTGCTGAGCCACAACTCCAACCCAAGTTTCCTATCTTACTATGAGCCAATCAGTTCTTTCTTTGTTGTTCAAGGTTTGGTTAATTTCCAGAGCTAAAAAAGAAAGAAAGAAAGAAAGAAAGAAAGAAAGAAAGAAAGAAAGGAAGGAAGGAAGGAAGGAAGGAAGGAAGGAAGGAAGGAAGGAAGGAAGGAAGAAAGGGAGGGCGAGCCTTCAAAACCCAGTCTGAAAGAAAGAAAGAAAGAAAGAAAGAAAGAACATTATTCTGACAGTTCTTTGTCAATTACTTCATTGATTTTGGGGTCCCTTACTCTACCATTTTACTGATGTCACTTCCATATATATATATCTTAAAGCCCTGAGCAACCCAGCCCATGTCCTTGCCCACAGCATGCCAACTGGCTGATGAAAAAGCAACATAACTGCAAGACAACCAACCACAAGGCATCTATCTGGAGGAGGCACTCCTTTAGGCAGTATGTACATTAACGACGTTGGTGATCAGGAAATAACCCTAGCCTCCTTATAATAGGAAGATGCACACTCCTAGGTGGAGATTCAAGATGCTAATAAGACATGCAATGTAGGGAGTAGTATGATTGAGCAAGGGCAATACTCAAATGCGAGGAAAACTGGACTACAGTTTACAGGTGGTAATACAGGTGGTATTATATATGTAATACCACCTGACTTCATCTCTAGTTCAGCCCTCTATACTATTTCTCTATAAAAGATAAAACCCCAGAACAATATGTTGCACTCACTCTCTCTGGTGGTCCACATTCCATTTGATATTGCACTTTCCTATTTATAATAAATCACTTGTCTGCAATGTGGTCAATAATCTGGAAGGTCTGAGGTCTCTACTCCTGGAGACAGTCTCAGGCCCCTGAATGGTGACATGCTCTGTTTTGAAAAGACGTCAAAAGACAGGACTCTTTCTTGTGCTGTCAAATCAGAGGTTCATACCCATCAGGGCATGGTGGTGGGTGGATATTTGTTAATTGCTACCGCAGCTTTCACTTTTCTCCTCTGCCAACAGTTTCTGTTTAAGTTTGGGGAATCCATTGTTAACCATAAGATTTGTGTGGACTTTACCCCATCCCTAGGTTTGGGGGTGCCCTTTTGTTAGTTTAAGTTCTTTATTGTATCTCTTCCCTTTATTCACAGTGATTGGCTCAAGAATCAGACATAGCCAGGCCCAATGGCTCATGCCTGTAATCCCAGCAGCTCCCCAAAGCCAAAGCAAGAAGATCATGAGTTCCTAGCTAGCCTCAGCAAAAGTGAGGTACTAAGCAACTCAGTGAGACCCTGTCTCTAAATAAAATGCAAAATAGGGCTGGATAGGGAAGTGGCTCTGTGGTCAAGTGTTAGGGTCTGTAAACAAGTCAGGATGGCATCTGGCATTTTGCCAGAGAGAGTGGTTTGTGAAGTAACGCCAGCGAACCATTAAGTGTGGAGATTCCTTATTGGTTGGCTGCTGTATCTAGTTTATGTTAATTAAGATAAGCTGTGTGGAATGTATATATACCCCTCCTGTCCTACAATAAACCGCTCCCACTCCTGCTGTATCAAGGTACACAAGTTGCTCCCCCCCCCCCCCCCCCCCGTTATTTTGCTGCAGCCGGACT